CCTCGATGAGAACAGCAGAGAAACATGTCCACAAACCAAATCCCTCAGACCGCGGCCGCACATTCGTATAGCGCCTATGCTTGTCACTCAATTGGAAAAAAAACATGCTTAGCTTTACTTTGCACACGACATGTAAATAAGTAAGCTGGTCATCATGGCAGTTTATTTAATTATTTATGCGCCTGATAGACACCAAACCACAAAGACCAAGTGAACTCTATGAAAGCAAACAATATTGTGGTCCGAGGGGAAGGGCAGTCCCAAAAGCAACTACGTAGCAAATCAAAGTTCGAGAAAGTTCGAATCAAACAAGATCGACGTAGAAATCCAGCGTAAGGGCAGGGAGGGAGTTCTTTAGCATAGGATGAGCCATAGAACAATTAATGTTCCTCTCAAATTATGACTTTAGCATTTATAGTTGGTCCAAAATTGCAAGGGTTTCCGTTGGCGTGGTGTGAATCTCCAAGTCAAATTTGAGCTCTGAAGACGGCTATTTCTTGAAACCATCAAACTTTTCAGCGCAAACCCCTTCGTAGACCTCCTTTGGCAAATAAGTAAAGGAAGACTTATCTACTTCTCAAATATCAAGATGACACGTTCGACAAAAATCTACATCACGTTCACATGAAACTTCTAATCGAACCAGCAAACTCATGCACACGCAAGCCAAGTATCTCTAACCGCTGCGCCAAAAAACCCGAACGGTTCCATCCTTTGGCCCTTGTTTTGGTAAGCAAACTAAAACCCTGCTTCTTAGCAAGCACCTGGAGAAGGGCAAAACCTGGTGCGCTACCGAGATTGAATTGAGATAAGAATGAGATTAGAATTGACGTGAAGGGTAAAATAAAAGAGTCAGACACGAAAATCGCTATTCAACTACAAATCTGCCTACGGCAGCACTGAAGCGATATACAGCACAACACCCCTCATTCAGGGTCAAGCGTGCGTTGAGGAATCCTCGACACGTCGCAGGGGGGGGGGGGTCGTATTGGCCCGCTGGGTGGAAGAGATGGAGCCATTTTGATGCAGTGGGATCATCACCGTCGGAAGACAAATATCAAGGATGAGTCGATGCCAGGCCAGAGGATTTCCAATGAAAATGATATTTCACCCACACAAAATTTTCGTGATTCTGAGGCGTCCGGTAATTCTTAGTTACTTCAGTGTTTTATCACCACACAAGTTAAAGAATCTGAATTTCGCACGCTTTCCAAGAGATATTTCATCTTTCAAGTAAGACCCCGAATCGGAAGGGATGTGAGGTACACGGCGCATCCGAGAAAGGGTCTAGTTGTTGCGCGCGCTTCAACTACGGCTCCTTGGACAAACAACCTCAATTCAGGAACAATCGAGAGAATTCTGAAAGTGTCCGTGCGCATTTACAGGGAGGTGTACACCATTCAACATTGCGTTAACGGACTCTTCAGGGTTAAATTTATAAACATGTAACCTTTAAAGTTGAGAAACGCTAATCAATCACTTTTCTTAGAAAGAGAAAAGCAGTGATTCCAAATCTGCTCTTACTTTAGTACATAATCGCCCCTTAAAAGGATATACAGCCGTTGAAATAGTGCCAATGTAGCGAAAAAGTACCTTTCGGCGGTACTCGTGCAAAATCCTCAACGTAGCCGTTTTTTTAATACTGGACGTTTGGAGCAGTTCTAGTAAGCATTTGATAGAGCAAATCTTCTAGTTTATGATGGCGTATTTACTTTTCGGATTGGATGAGTTTGAACGGAGTTATGGCTTTAGGAAGTAAAAAAACTCGCACTCATCACAAATTTTCCTCGTTAATTTTGCGAAAATCCTCAACGTGGGCATTTTTCGAATACTGGACGTATAGAGCTGCTTTAGCAATGGTTTGGTAGAGAAAATCTTCTAGTTTTGTCTGCCATATTAACTTTTCGAATTTGACGAAAATGAAGCAAGTTGTTGCTTCGGAAAGTGTAAAAACTCGTGCTCGTCTCGAATTTTCCTCGTTAATTGATCTAAATTTGTTATTTCTTATAACTTCCTGTAATTTCAGTACTGATTAGAAAAAGCTCTTCACAAAACTTCCAAATCTGCTTTCAGATTGAAAATTCGTTAACTTTGAAGAAAGTTATAATCATTTGAATATTTGTTCAAATTTCAATAGTAAATAAGCTGCTCCACGGTCAACGCCAAAGTCCAGTCAACACACAGCTGGCGAAGGCTTTTACAAGGCTTCCTTTGAGCGAAAGGGGACGTGTAAATTGAGAACCATAATCTGTGTAGTACTAGAATTTGGTAAGTCTTGTGGAGGAAATAAATAAAGAAGAGATGTTGTCATAGTATGCCATTTTTAGTGACTAGTTTGTCGTTTTCTGGTCTGTTTCTCGTTTGCTCGTTTGGTAGGACTCATCAATAATGATTATTCTTTGACTTTTTCACTTTTGTACTTCTTAAACGAATTTTTTTGTGGGCGGTGGGGTAGCAGGGCTTTTTTATGAGCAGTTTTGGGGGAGAATTAAACAAGCTTTTCAACCTTTTCATAGTTCGGCTTTTGAAGAGGGTTGTTTCATGGACTTCGGCCTCCGGCGGAGGGTGGGGGGGGGTCGTATTTCCAAATTTTCCTCAACGCCTCGCTTGACCCTGCTAGGATCTGTAAAATTACTGATCATGGTCAGCCTCTTCTACGACGCCATCATCAGCCGGATAATCATTGTCGGCCACGTCATCCTAATCACATAAATAACAGTCAGCAATCATGTGACTTACAGTGAATGTACGGGACATACTTGGCAACAATAGCTCCTTAATATCATATTTAAGGCTTGCATCAGCGCCTATGTTAATTGAGTTTACTCTTGATCACACCAAGCACTCTGCGGCGTGTCATGGTCGGGAATAGTCACTACGTCGCACGCCATCATATATTTAACACTAGTTAAAATATGAGAATAACAAGGCCATTACGAGGAACTCTCCTAATTAGGTCATTGAACTTAAAGACAGTGACACATGCTGTAGCGAGCGGTTCTCGATTGGGTGCGTCTGGTGCAATGGGGCGAGGATCATAGCGATTGTCAACCTGGGCGCGTTACTTTCGAAGATCTGAGATCCTTCCGGAGAGTCACAATACGACGCGCTAGAGCATTTTCAGATAAAGCATAGGTGGATTCTCCCCAGTACACCTTCCTTCCTGACCACAACTCTCAGCCCATGGCTGCCCCATGACTGTTTCTATAGAACTTCATCCTAAGAACTAATCGACACCCTCAACTCTAGTCACTTTTTTCCACAAAGCGCCCGTCAAGCCAGAATGGGAGAGGCCCCGTATGGGGTTTGAAGGTGCTTTCTCCGTCCTTCGGCAGTGCAGGCGGTAAATCCTAATGACTTTGATCATTTCATGTTCACCTTGCGAAGCCTCCCCGGAACTTCCCGAAAACTTTAAAACAACATTCCTAAATGGTACTTGTATAACAGACAGTTGACCCTGTCGCTCTGACCACACCCCAATAACGCGCTGGAGACTCATCTGCAGATGACGTCCTCTGACGCCATCAAAACCGCTCTGCAATCCTCAATGCCTTTAACGTCACGAAGGTGTCATTAAAACGCTGAGTGGTTCTACCTGATTGGCATCAGTATCATCTACGACGTCGTCTTGAGGCTGATTGTCTGTGCCGAACGCGTCATCCTGATGCAATAGTCATCAGGGCCAATAAGCTTTGAGAGAAGGTCCTAATGTGGGAGTGGTTCTTAGCATAGTCACTGCAGTTTCTTCAGTTCCATGAGAAGCTTGTCTTGTTGTGAATGCCTTCAAAGCTCACCTGCGCTGTCCCTTCAATTGCCTATTTTCCCATGCTTGCAAATTAGAGGCTCGCGACGAAGCACTTGGATGCAGAGAAAGGGACGTTCGAGCGGCTCAGATGCGAAGGGGAAAGGAGAGATTCCAGGGGATAAACCCAACGTTGTCAGGGAGAGCCATTCTAGCAAAAGATGTGGCAAACCTTTTGGGTTATCACAAAACACTATCGTTACCGTACCTGATTATTAGTGACATCTTCTACGGCGGGATGCGATTGACCAGCGTCGATGGCTGCTCCTCCGGACGCACTCGGGTCTGGAGTGTTGTAGTAGTTGTTCGTAATGTTGGTGTCATTATCCTGGAAAATATGACACTTATTGGCACTTATTTTGACTAGTGGGCAAGCAAAATAAAGTTTTCAGAATAAGAAGAAATATAGCTCATTGAAATGAGGAGAACATTGGTCGTTGAAAATATTCATACTGGCTAGAAAAGGGACACTATCAACATACATGCTGGAAGCACGCAATTAAAGGCAAGGTTCGCGATGAAAAGGCAGCCCACCAGAAAACAAGGTATAAAAAATCAGTTTTGTAGGAATGAAGAGGAAACCATGGGAAACGGCCCAGGACTCAAAAAATGAGACTCCTTCCTTGCCCGTCAGTTTCTGCATTGATGCAAATTGGGCATAGTTCGAGATCTTGTACCATTACCACGTCGCGACAACGCGCGCTTTTCCGAGCGTGACTGAAAACAGGAGAAAATTCTATCAGGATAATCATGGCACCATCGCAAGGTGGGGGCACCGGGCTACGGCCGGATTTGAAACCGCGTCAACATCGTTTTTTATAATAAACGAGACCAAAACTTAAGCATGAGGAGAGACTCCAGGGTGCCTAAGCAAATAGCACTTCGGCCGGAGCTCTTCCCCCGCCTAATCTACAGAGTGTCTTCGTCTACTGCTAGCCCCTCTAGCTGATTCCTGTACCACACTGTAAGGTCCCATTTATTATAGCCATGACCAATGGAATAATTATGAAATATCTGGAAGAAAGTCAGCACGCGGGTACAAGTAACAAAAACGTGGTATCATAAGATGCCGCGCCGTCCCACGTAGTCCGCAGGGTGCGGTATCCTGCTGCGTCACGTTGTTACAAGGTGCTAGCCTTACCGCCGAGCACATGATCCACCTTTGCTATCTTGCTTCACCATTCTACTTTTGCCGGGTCTTCAACTCTACCACATTTTTACTGCAAGTGAGCTCTTGTTTAATAGATTGCTTAGGAGGTAAGTTACTTCAGCTAAAAATTGAGGAAGATGTGGCCTACTCGAATCTTTCTTAATACTGAAATCACCGAAAATGAGTATTAAACTTTAGAAATTATTTTAAAAAAGTTCAAGATGTTATGTAGTACTTACCGAATAATAGCCTCCACCCATTCCGAGACCACCTCCATAGCTTGGCATCATCATCGAGTGACCGCCCCACATTGAGCCCATGCCATAGCTCATCAGCGATCCCAACAGCATACCGCTGCCGAACCGAGGGCACCTCCTGCGATTCCTGCACCGAGACCACTGCCACCACCTCCGTATCCGCCCCCACCTCTGTATCCACCTGCGCTTCCTCCTGAAATAAAAGGATATTAGTAGAATTCAAGCATGAACCA